CCCCCTGTTCCCACTACTCACTTTTCAGTTCCCTCTACCCAGCCACAGACCTCTGTCCCCACTCCCCCTTCTTCAGCTACAGAACTCTGTCCCCACTCCTGTCCCCACTCCCAGAACTCTGTCCCCACTCCTCTGTCCCCTACCAAAGCACCCACTAGCACCCTTCCCCAATACTATGACCCCTGTTCCCACCAACACAGTTGGGGCCACATTAGTGAAGCTTGGGGGGGAGGGGGTTGGAGGAGGGTTTTTTTTGCATCTCACTTGTGTGGCCCCAAATGACTTTTCTTGGGTCAGTGATCCCTGACTCAAAACAGGTTCCCTGCCCTTCTCAGAAATAAAGCCAATGCAGAAACTTTTTCTTTGACATAGTATTTTATTTAAAAATGAAGCCTGGGCAACAAACCCCAAATTGGGGCCAAGCCCCCATCTGGCCACACCATCATAACACTCCTGCACTCCCCTTTCCCCCAGACCCTACATCTGAGCCTATCATACACTGGAACCCCCTGCCCTGAGCCCCTCACATACCCCAACCCAAATTCCTGAACCCTCACATCCAAAAGTCTGTGGCTTGCTTAGTACCCTAACCCTACATCTGACACCAACACTGCCCGGCCTGGCGCCCTGTCCCCGAGCCAATGTCCCTTTATCCACCTTCTCCTGCATCCAGATTTCCTCCCAGAGCCTGCACTTCTCACCTCTCCCCGCACCCAAATCCCTCATTCCCACCCCAGAGCATACACATCCTGTCTCAACCCAACAAGGGTACGGCTAGACTGCAGGAGTTTTTCAGGATTCTGGAAATACCCCAGAAAAACACTTCCGCATCAAGGGATGCATTTGTTCTTCCGCTTCTTTTAATAGAAGAGCAAACATGATCTTTCGGTAACCCCTACATTCCTTTTTCCAAATGTTGGAAAAACCTCTTCCTACAGAAGAATTGGGGGGAAAAAAGCAGCAATACAAGGCAAGTGATGGAGAGGAGGAGAATAAAGAGGACGGGGCTTCAAGGAAGGGGCAGGGCTTCAAGGAAGGGGCAGGATGGAAGATCTTGGCTTGTTCTGTCATTTAAAAAGTGATCTTGGGAGTAAAAGGTTGGAGACCACTGCTTTATAAACAAATAATTTTATTCCCAAAGGCGGAAATGTTATAGAGAAATCATATTAAAAACCAGAAGTCACCCCAACTCCAACCTCGGGCTCTGGTAGATGTCTGTCCTTCAAAACCTGTAGGTTCATAACACTCTCAGATTCAGATCCATAGCCATCATGAATAGTTCAGTCTTTCCATTAAATAGCTTGGGATCATTAATTTTAGATTCTGGGAACAAGTAATCAAAAGACATTGCTCCTCTCTTCAGAGCACAGTTTCAAAGGGTTGCTCTTTTGTATAACTAGAAGTGGAAATTTGCATTTGCCTCGCCCTAGATATTCCCCAGGCAAAATACTTGACTCTGTTTGTCCTAAACATTCATTCTTGTTTGGTACATTGTTCAATGCAGTCCTCGGAAGTTCATAACATTCCCAAGCTTAACAGACTTTGAGTACATAAGACAGATACATGAGACTTAATATGGACTATTTTCTAGTTCGCCAATTAATACAGAGCAAACTCTAATATAGCTCAAAGAAACAGATCAGGATGCTTTCCTAGCCTACTGTACGAGAACGGCAACAAAATTCTACTCTTACTTATGGTTCCAAGTGAGTTTCTGCCTCCAAATCTTCCTCTCCTGATGCCATTGTGATAACTGAGGGGCTCACACCGTTACTTTTTTAAATGTCAAGCTAAAATGTATTTTACACACAAGGTGCAAAATGACTAGATCACTGGTTCATTAAAAATGTAGCTACCATTACACACTATGTTATATTACACATTAGATATATGGAAAAGAAAATGACAAAAAGTATAAAATAAGTAGACTAAATTAATGCCAACAAAATAGAATAGATTAAAATAGATGATTTTAGATCAGGCCTAGGCAAAATACAGCCCAAGGGGTGGATCTGGCTGCCTAGCCACCAGATCCAGCCCACAGAGGCAGTAGGGAGTCCCAGGCAGGCTCCCTTGCTTACCCTGCAGCCCTGCACGCCGCTCAGAAATGCAGTTGTGGGTGCTCTTTCTTTGAGTCTGGAGGGGAGGGGGGAAGATTCAGACATTGGCTCCCACCCCCAGCATAACCCCATTGGTCGGTTTCTGGACAGACACTGGCCAATGGGAGCTGCCTGTTTGAATAACAGGCAGCCACAAAGCACAACCATCTTGTTCACTAACTCAAGCCCATGGCCGAGCAAACAGAAAAATGTTAAGCTCTGCCACTCTTCAGCTCTGCGGGCAGGTTGGTAAGTCTCCTGGTGAGAACCTGCCTTTGGCACCTCAGCCCCTCCCTTCCCCAATCCTCTGCCCCACACTCCTGCCCTGCTACTCCACACGCACCCATACTCCCTCCCAGATCTGGCACCCCAATCTCCTGCCCGAGATCACAATCCCCTCCTATCGTAGGTCACAATTTTCCTGCCCTAGGACACAACTACCTTCTTCACCCAAACTCCCTCCCAGACCCCATTCTCCCTCCAGCAATCCTTTACCCCAAGCTCCCTTCTGTACCCAACCTTCATCCCTGACCCTGCACCTCCTCCATTAATACCATGGAAGAGTGCAGCCCTCGGCCACTTTCCAAAATCTTCAGAGTGGCCTCCTATCAAAAATTATTGCCCATCCCTGTTTTAGATAAACCATCAAACATCAGTGTTATTCTAAAGCACTGGATTACTGAAAGGAAAGAAACAATTTACCCGGGACTTATCCTGTTCTATGCCATTGGCCTGCTATCCTCTAAAAATACATGTGGTAATATAATTTTCATTCACTAGCCAGCATAACAGGCACATTTTGTACTAGTAAAAAACAAGAGTAGAAGAAAAATGCCTATTGCTGTTGAAAAGAAGCATGTTTTGTAAAGGTCAGGGAACAAATCCAACTAAGGAGTCACAGCAGGGATTAATTTGATCCTAGAATCCTAGTTGGAATTAATTCCACTTGATTGCAAAATATCCCATCAGGTGAAAAGTGTTTCTTGAAAAAGAATGTAATAGTATCAGATAATTACAGCCCTCAAGGGCTAGTCCTGCAGTCCTTTCACACACATTACTCCCATTGACACCAGTGAAGGACTACAGGATAAAAATCATATTTTCCTTAAAATAGTGAGAATTTTGACTGGATTCCTATATGCACTTGAAATGAACTCTGGCTGCTCAGACACTGAAAACATGTTCAAGAACAATTCATTCCTGTAAGAAGATTAACCCCAAAGATGCTGTCAGGATAAGTGTCTGCTTGGATCTGCTGTGCATGTGTCTAAAGTGCAAGTAGGGCTAGTGTCTAGTCTGATTTGTGCACTCATGGCTTTCCTTCATGAGTCAACATTCTTTGCTTTATCGCAACAGCTCTTCTCCTTTTTCTCTGTCTCTTTATGACATGTCTATATACCACTGATATCTTTGTGTTCACATAAACGTATTCATGAATTCCATACCTGAGGATCTCGTCTCAAGCAATTTACATGAAACTCTCTATGCCTCTTCAGTGACAGTCCGAAGAAACTAATCATCAGGTTTAGATGGCAATTTAAAAGAAAAATCACATCCAACGTTTGTAAAATTGTTAGTTTAGGGACCCTGGTAAAAAACCCAAATCATATCATTGCAAACAAGAATTATCATTTTAAACTGCTGAAGGCAAATTGTAGCATTTAGCCCTGTGATGGGCAACATTGTCCAGTGAGTGGGCCACTTGAATAGCTCTCCTTTATCTCAGTGGTCCACAAGATTATCATAATCAAGACAGTCTCACAGGATAGGGTAGTTTTGCTAGCTGCGCTTGCATACCTAGAATTTGTGGGGTGTACCAACTGAACAGTATCAACACTTTGATTAGATACAGTGAGAGCACAAGCTCTCATAGTCAATGTTATGTGCAATCAGCACATACCTCCCTTCACGTACCCTTGCTTTAGGTGCATGTCATTTTAGTGAAGCTGGTAGGAAAAAAACTATGTGGATGGAAACCAGTGGAATGCAGCAACCCTTTGCATAGGCAACAGTAAACAAAATGTCTCGTGGGCCACACATAGATCCCTGATGGTCCACAGGTTGTCCATCGCTGATTTAGCCACCAGCCTAAATAAGAATGCTACAGAGATAAGGGAGACAATGTGCCATCATCTCTCTCTGAGCAGCCTGATACAAAGGAGACTGTAGGTTGTACCATTTTTTAGAAGTGCATCCAACCTGCTCTGATACAATGTGAAAGGAGAGCAGGGCCAGGTACCCCTTTTGTTACCCTGTGTGATCCAACAGCCCCATGGGAGGAACAGTCTTTCAGTTCTTCCAAACAAAGAGACTATAAGAGTTAGGCTGTAATGCAGGCCATGCAAGGTGGGAAAGGCTTCTTTCATCTTCCTATCCCACATCCTCTGCATCTTCCTAAGGGCCAGCCACAATCTGGCCTTTAATTCCTACACCTATTGTTACTGATCAAGTATTTCTGAACACTAGATTCCAAACATTAGATAACACTATGGCAGCTTTAAAAAATAGTGTAAACTGGGTAGCATTTGCATGGCATATTTCTTAACTCTAGAGACAGAAACCAGTTTCATATTATTCTTTGTATTACTATAGCACCTAGGGCCTCTAGTTCATGGATCAGGACCCCACGGTGCTAGCCGCTGTACATACACAGAACAAAAACAGTCCATCTTACTGCCTTGAAGCTGGGTTATGCCACAAGCATTTGGTTAACTTATAGAGTTAGTTTTTTAGAGCATACAGCATGAGGTCTTCACAAGCATAGTGTAGTGAATATGCAACTCTCTGCCAGCTGTAATTTGTAATAATTAAAACAGCACAGTATGTCCCTTTTCCGCATCAAATAAGACTGAAGAATAGAGTATCGGGTACATCTGAGTACAAACATGAATAAAACCTTACCGGTGGTCCAGGAGGTCCAAGTGGTCCTTTACTAAATTCAGAACAGGAGCAAGAATGAGGAAGAGATGGACAACTTTCCTCATCTCTCTGAGGAGAGAGCAAAATAGTAAGTCTATATTCAAAATATGAAGTCAACAGCTGTGGATGTATAACAGATCAATATAAATATTGAAGGGAAAATTTAAAAACTCCTAAATAATTTGGGGGTACGAGACCCATTGACTTTCAATGGGATTCATGCTCCAGACACAATTAGGTCCTTTTGAAAATCCCACCCATTGATTTCATGAGGATATTAGCAAAAGCATTTGGTTTGGATGCAAGAAAATAAACTACAATGTTAGTTTAGAAAAATAATTCTTACCAAAGCAGGAAGTTCGCAGCATTTGTCTCTATTGGCCCAGGAGGTGGTACAAATAATGTCAAACATCTGCAACTGGAACTGTTTAAAAATAAGAATAAAGTGCAACATTCAATGTGGCAAGTTCAATGAAAAGGAGAGACATTGCGAAGGGGTCCCATTGCTCAGGGCACGCAGGAGACTGATGACAGAAACATTCAAATAGATTTAAAGTGGCAGGTGACAAACATACAAACTTTAATATAAAGGTGGTGGTTGGGGGAAGTGGGGGGGTGAAGGGATAGCTCAGTGGTTTGAGCATTGGCCTGCTAAACTCAGGGCTGTAAATTCAATCCCTGAGGAGGCCATTTAGGGATCTGGGGCAAAATCTGTCAGGGATGGTACTTGGTCCTGCTGTGATGAAGGCAGGGGACTGGACTCGACTCGATGACCTTTCAAGGTCCCTTTCAGCTCTAGGAGACAGGCATCTCCATTCATGAAAGTATGGGCTTGAATGGCATCATCCCCATCCCAGCTCCCAAGTGCCTGATTCAGCCCCATGTTGCATCCTAAACCCCCTCTGCCCGTACAAGGGGGAATGAGGTTACAATCAAGGAGGAGTACTGCTGTGAAAACTAAATACTTCCTCTTGTCTCACAGGTCTTATGCTCAGATTTAGCCTGGAACCTGTTCCCTTGCAGCAACCTGTTCCCTTGCAGCCTCTTACTTGCACTGAGAACACATACATACCTCAAGCAGTGACAATATTTAGTGATGTTAATTGACCATTTCCAGGTTTGTTTTATTTTTTAAATTAACTCTTTTTAATCCTTATCCCCAGCTACCAGGGCTCTGGGATGCCATGAGGAAAGCAAAAAAGCAACAAAACACAACACCAGACACCTTGCCAAACACCTTAAGAGGGAAAAAATTCCTTCATGACCTGCTAAAATGATTGGGTTAGACCTAAAGCAAACTTGGAAACCCAGCTCTGATGGCTACCCCACTTACATGGCAGAAGAGCTGGGGCTGCTTTT